ATGATAGCCCTCTCCAATGAAAGCAGTGACAAAAAAAAATCCCCACAACCTTTATTACTTATTGAACACAACATGTTCAAGTTCAGTGTTTGACTGTGGGTTATGAAATCTTGAATCCTGTTTTACAAAGAACTGGCAGGCAGAAGTTTCTGAAAAAAAGTCTCAAGCTGGTTTACATCACAGAGATGGCTTTTTCCCTGTCCTACTTAGGTTTTAACTAGTGCAACTGAGGCTGCAGGCATCAAAATCAATACTTCCTTAACAACATGTTTATCATCGAGGACTTTACTGGGACCTAATTGCCTGCAGATTTTTCCCCCTACAATTGAGAATTGTAAAAGCAATTTTGTAATGCAGACTATTTGAAAACCCCTGTTGTTTTTGTCTGCTTGTGTATTAACAGCCTTTCAGTGAGCTCCTTTTTACACGTTTCTCCTTGGTTCAGTAAAATATGTTTCATTATTTTCCTGCAGCGTCTCATTGTTTAAAAAATAGGTTGAAATAAGAAGTTGGATATTAGAAATGATTTAATATCAGTATGTTACATAAGATTCCCATCTCCACTCCAGTATTCTTGTACAGTAATTTCTTCCATAGTGAACCTTGGTCCTCAAAATCAAGTCAATAAAGTATTTAAAATCTTTTTTGAATGTATTGTCACCGATTTTTGTTATAAAATGTTATGCGGGAAGTCATGGTTGTCTTTTTAACATTTTCAGAATTTCTCCTTCTTTCTGTTTTAAATAATGATATAGTTGGGTTGTTGTAGGTTTTTTCTGGCTATATGGCCATGTTCTAGAGGCATTTTCTCCTGACGTTTCACCTGCATCTATGACAAGCATCCTCAGAGGTTGTGAGATATGAGGCATTCTAGAGATAATGGCCATATCGCCTGAAAAAATCTACAACTATCCAGTGATTCCAGCCATGAAAGCCTTCAACAATACAATAATATAGTTTATTATAATATAGTTTTGTTGTTGTTGTTGTTGTTGATGATGATGTTGTGTAATTTCTGAGTTATGGAGATCCCATCACAGAGGTTTCTTGGCAGAAACTGGGCACACTCTCTCTAAGGCTGAGGGAGTATGCCCAAGGTCACACAGAATTAACCAGCCACTGTAGATGAGCTTCCAGGATTCCATAACTTACAGCCATGGCAATGAACGTGTGTCACACTAAACTAATTCTACAGTGTGTAGATGCACCCCACTTGGTGTTCAATTCTCTTTCATGTCATACTGGAGAGGGGATGGAAACGTAGCAATTCAGCAACATCTGGAGGGCTACAATTTCTCCAGTCCTGCTGCAGAGCCTCCCAGGCCTCACCTACATTGCCATATAATCCAGGTTCTGAATGCAGATTACCCTAGTTAAACTGGATTATATGGCAGTGTAGGGCCCTTCCAGACAGGTGCCTAATCCGAAGTTTTAAAATGGGATTAAAACACCCTGTACCTTAAGGAGAATCCTCATACGGAGCCATAAGTCCCAGGAAATGATCCTACGGCATCCAGAAATGTTTGGATAATGTAGATTGAAGGGAACCGCAAAATGTATGGGACATCTGCTGGAAGTTTTCTTTTTTTTCTTATTGACCCTCCAAGATGTGCTGCAACGCATAAGCACTGCTATAAATATAACAAATGGATTTCGTGAGATTGTCTCTTCTCCCCCCCCCCCCCCCCGGGTTCCTTTAAACTTGCCTTGTTGAACCCCATTTCTCTTTGGGGTCACTTGCCTGCCATGCTCGTGCTATGTAAATTCAAGCTCTGTTTAATTTCAATAATATGAAGAAAAATAAATGGCTGGAAAGAGTTATCATGGGAATTGCTTTTATTACATCATCTTGCTTAGTCACTGCTCTTTTCATGTTGCAAACTGTTGGGCTCTGTACTCTTCTTTTGATTCTTTGGTTTTCAGCATCACAGCCTTATGGACTTCATTCATTGCTGGCTCTTGGCTTTCTTTGATCTATTCTTTTGGGTCCATTATTATTATTGAATCTGCGGATGCAGAATCCGTGGATATGGAAAGGGCATCTGTACCAGAAGTTAGCTTGTCATGAATTCTTTTTTCCCGTTCTTTTTCTAATAATGAAGATGTAACTACATCCTGTTGTTTCAATGCCACAAACAAAAATATTTGCTTTGAGACCTCTCCATTTTTGGGAAAATAAATACACATTTTTCTTTAGCCGTAATGTATATTGGAAACAAATTTCTTACACAGCATGTTAAATTCCCAATTCCTTTTGCAATTTTTGTTGCAATAGAGTAACAAAGCAATCTATCGCCTTGGAAGTGTGTCTTTTTGCTGCAGACCCCTAATAGTTTGAGACTTCAACTCCCAAGATTCCTAATCATTGGCCATAGTGAGGTGACTTCTGGGAGTTGAAATCCGAAGCACTTGCAAGGTTGGGGTTTGGGAATCACTCCACTCTAGAGCAATGGTCCCCAATCTTTGGCCCCTTCCACACAGCTGAATAAAATCCCATATTATCAACTTTGAACTGGAATATATGGCAGTGTGGACTCAGGGCCCTTCCACACAGCCCTATATCCCAGAATATCAAGGCAGAAAATCCCACAATATCTGCTTTGAATTGGATTATCTGAATCCACACTCAGATAATGTGGGATTTTCTACCTTGATATTCTGGGATATAGGACTGTGTGGGAAGGCCCTGGGTTATCTGAGGGCCCTTTCATACAGCCATATAACCCAGGATATCAAGGTAGGGAAATCCCACAATATCTGCTTTGAACTGGAATATATGAATATGGATAAACTAACCTACTTGGCTATCCTCAAACCAAGGGATTCCAAAGAAATATACAAACTGTGATCCAGTAAAAGACTATTTCAAACAACAGAAAATAGAAATTATCATTTAAAAATAGTAAATCATAAATAAGGGGGAAAATAGAGGGGAAGCAGACAATTTTTGAAACACAAACAATTCTGAAGAGGAAAAAAAAGACTTTAAAGGCTACCAAAGACCAGATGGAAGTCAACAATATTTTATTTTATTAATAATTATTTTTATTTTTCCCCTTTTCTCTTTCTCTCCTTACTTGGTTTCTATTGTTCCTACTCTCCTATCCAAACTAATTATGTTCTCCCACTTTCGATGTAATTTCCCTAATAAAAATATTTTTAAAAAATAAGTATGAACTGGAATATATGGCAGTGTGGACTCAGATAACCCAGTTCAAAGCAGATATTGTGGGATTTCCCTACCTTGATATCATGGATTATATGGCTGTGTGG